TTTAAGTCACAGTCTTGCAAGCGTTTACACACAAATTGATCAAATACCTAAGAATCTTCCTCAGAACACTGGAAAAATCTCACATCCCTCTAAATAAACAGCATCAGGCCTAAGAGAGGCAAGACACTCCGCTACACTTTTATTTCAGTAATGCAAGGGATTAAAGAAGACTGTGGGGAAAACAAACAAACAAACAAGCAAACCCAGCAGCTTTCCCAGATAAAGAGAGAGATATTAAAACCTACTCTTTTTCCTTTACTTTTTTTTTAAAGCCTTCTTCTAATTCTGATAACACCTTGGCTTAGTAAAGCTGAAGATGCTCCTTAAGTGTTTGTGTAAGTGAATGATTCATGTTGTATCTCCGTGTTCCAGCTGCAGCACAGCAAAGCTGTCCAGGGAGCTGCGTGGGGAGCCCAGCTCCATGCTCTGACCTGGCACTGCCAGGCTGCACCACGGAGCTCCCACCTGCACCCCGACCCCGGCCACAGCCGGCACTGCAAGGGTTAAACAGCACATCTTGCCCAGCCTTGCCCAAACAAGGCTGTCAGCAATGAAAAAGAGTGAGTGGGCTTGAAGGCAGCCTCAAATGCTTCTGAACCAACTGGAAACTCTGCCCTGGCAGCTCGGGGCTCTCAGTGATGGGCACGCATGGGATGCGGCGCTGGGGCACGCAGGGCTCCTGCCAGGCAGGGGTGGCAGCGGGTCCCCTTCTGTGGGCACCCAGGGAGAGCTGGGAGCTCCTGATGGCCCTGCTCTGAGTGGGATTTCCAAGCTAATGGCTCTCTGGCACCTTCCCAGTGTTCCCAGGAGAAGGAGCCACCCACCACTTCCCTGGCTGAGCCCAGGACTCATGGAAATGTCTTATTCTCTGCTGCAAATAGAGCGTTTAAGTTAACAGTCTCTTTTTGTTAACACATGTAAATGTAAAAAGACTCCATAAGAATCAATGTAACTTTTTCATCTAAATATCAAGTCAACACATAAGAAGACAGAGTAGAGGGAGGGAGAGAAGAGGAGGGAGATCCAAACACCAGGGACCTTGAATCCACTCACTGCAAAAGTTAAGGACTGAAATAATTCTCATTTACTCATATGAGAAAGTGAAGCTCTCACTTTCTCACTCTCTCCTTCTCTTTCCCTAACACACTCAGATACTTCTATCTTTAGCCAATTATCCTTGCTGTAATTTTCTTTAAATTGTAATTGGATAATCATCCAGACTCAGGGGAAACCTTTGTCAGAGGAATTCCTGGGGATATATTCCCATTTGACGAAACTGAGAGTTGTTAGGTTAACAAAGGACTGACTAAAGACACGATTCTTCACTTGTAGTGAAAATACTGTTTTACAAGCAACTATTTTTAGAAAACCCTGTAACAAAATAGACACACTTGTACACTCGTTTTCCTGTATTTTACTTTCTGTAAAATCAGACTCCAAAATTATGAAGATCGTGTTCTGTGCATGTGTCTTATTGGGACTTCTGAGGCTGAACACAGTAAACACAGTGGCCAAGAGCGAAATTCCCTAAAGGGCAGGCACCATGGAAGCAATTTCCCCAAATCAGTTCCCCTCCTGCCCTCTCTCTGAGCTCATCTGGCTCAGGCATGTGCAAAAGCCTCACACAGACCAGCACTGTGGCTGTGAAATGTCAGATTAGCCCTCTGCCTGGCAAAAGCACTGCTGTGGGGGGGAGAAATCCTAAAATACCTCCCAACAGAAGAAGCTGCTTTGTTCCAGTTTAGCAGGGAATCTCAGCTGCAGGTTTTGCTGATGGTGGAGCAGAACAAAGCAGCCACAAACCGTGGATGGCAGAGCCCCACCTGCACATGGCCCCCGAGCCTCCTGCAGGGTGTGGAGAAGGTGGCACACCTGAGCCAGCTCTGCCTCCTTCTGCCTTTGCAGCTGTCCCACTTTGCCCAGCCAGAGATGCTCCAGCTCACCTCCAGGTACAGAGCTGCCACCAGGCAGGCTGTAGCAGCACAGAGGACACAGGCTCTGCTCAAGGGGCACTGAAATCCATGAGCTGTGTCAAGAGAAAGAGAGGGGAGGAAGGAGGAGAGCAGAGCTGTACTGTAGAACGTGTTTTAGTTCCCAGATAACGTGGCGCTGTTCACAGATTTCAGCTTATATAGGCTTTTCCCTATTTCTATTTTTATTCCCAAAGCACGCCCCATTACTGTATGATAAGGGAAAAAAAAAAAAAAAGACACGAATGCATTCACATGCTGATACAATCTTCCTAAGTGTCCACCTGGCTAATGCAACCTGCGCTCTGAGAGCCAGGCTGGCACCTCCTCTCCCACACCACCAGTCACAAGGGCTTTATGGCAAGTTTTTGCAAGTCAGAGTCTTGCTGAAATGGGAGGACACTTGACAAGAGAAGGGACCCAGGACACACAGGGAAAGAAATATGACTCATGTGCCTGCCAAAATAACCAACAGAGAAATCCAAACAGAAGTGAGAAGAAGGAATAAAAACTGAAATTTTGGACTCTTATTCTGAAGGAATATAATTCTTCCTCCCTAGAGCTGGCATCTGGTTCATTCAGGTCTTGAAGGAATAAGGCTAGGACAAAATCTTTCTGCCTCATTCTTCCTGAATGCTTATTTTAGAGCTTAAAATTACAGCTCTGAGGCCAGCAGGGAGGCATTTCCCACACCTCCAAGTATCCAGGCTGCTACAGCACTCCCACTACCCTCTCAAGTCTCTTATCTGTGTGTGCTTTGTGGTGCCAGGTGTTTTTGGGTAGTGCTACCTGACCCTGGGGATGAGCCTCCTGGAGCCCAGAGCAGGGCAGTACTCATCCCCACTGCTCCTGCTCAAATGCAGGATACCTGCACAGACCAACAGGGTCTGGAAAGGGAGGGCCCAGAGTGTTCATACACAACCTTTCCTTCCACACCACGGAGGGATCAGGGGACCTTCTGGACTCTGGGGAGGCACGGACAGACATCAGCAAGCATCATACCAAATGCAGACACTTTGAACTCAAGCTAGAAGCAGAGACATGGAAAGCTATCCCAGGGCTGTGTGGATGCAGCCCTGCCCTCTGCCTTGCACAGAGGCAAGGAGTTAGAAACACAACCTCTCACCCCACAGCCCCTTCCTCCAGCTCCATGCAGCAGCTCCCACCTTCCCAGCTCAACATTTCCCAGTCACTGCAGTGCCCTGCAGGCTTCCACCAGCCCAAGTCCTCTCAGACTGACTCTCCATGTCCCCCATTATCCTCCATCCTTAGCTGCTCCTCCAGACAAGGTGATCCCAACAACAACACCGTGCCTACTTCCAGGGAAGAATATCTGGGTTTTAGAGTTTAATCCTCTCTGCTTGCCCTCTCCTGCTCACCACAGGCAGGCAATGGAGACAGAAAGCAGGAGCCTTTCCAGCACCAAGCCTGCCCACCCGAGAGCCTGTGGGCTGGAGTGATGCTCTCCATGAAAACAAGGGATGCCTTTCCTGCAAGGAATACAAGACAGCAAGTAAATCTTCCAGAGCTGCCAAAAGCAACCTGTTATAAATGACCCTCTAAGTTATGAGATATGGACTCTCCACAGTACAGTTAATAAATAACACCTCACAATCCTTCTAGGTATGGAATCCTTCTAGGTATGTTGGGTGACACTTCTGCTTGCCCGAGAGGGGCACAGTTAAAAATGGAGTGTCAGGAAAAGAATACTTTTTAATTACGAAGCAGATAAGTGTTTTTATAATACAAGGAGCTTGCTGCAATCTCACAAATCCAGAAATGAAAAGCCTTTCCTAGGACAAAAAACTGAATGCATGGAACAAAATCCATCATTTTATAATAAAAGAAAGATCTGTAAAGCCAACCAGAATTTTATCCAAGCACTATAACCAGCTATTCACAAAGCAGAGGTCAGGATGAAAAGAGAGAGCGTGCATGTGAGAGGGCATTTATAATCCAGTTTACTGTGACATCCTAAGGCCCCAAGACCAGGATTCTGTTGTGCCAAGCACTGTACAGGCACACTGCAAGAAACCAGCCCAGAGTGAGGAACAAGCACGGCCACTGTAAGAGGGGAAAGCGACATTGGCACAGAAAAGTAGTGAAGCACTGATGGTTTCCTTTTCCCCCTTCTTTTTTAGGAAACCATCCAGTTTCCCTCCAGACACACCCCACACACACACCAAAAAATAGAAAACCAAAAAACTACCTGCTTCACATAAGGGGGCAGCTGCCCCCAACAAACACAGCAAAGGCCATCTTGCTGCCAGCATCTAATCGCTTCTAGTCTGTGTTCTTGGACACGTCTATTCCACTTTATTTCCCTGCTACGGCTTAAGCCTGACCCCTTCCTCTCCCCACTTCCATTCAGAGACCCGTTTGACAGCAGAGAGCAGGTATCAGAGGCTCAAGAATTTGCAATCCGGATGAAAATTAAAGTTGCATTTCTCAGCGCGTGCAGCGCTCCAGCCAGGAACACCCAGATCTCCACGGCACAGGGGAGCGAATTAAATAAAGCAAATCCCTCCGCATGTCGTCCACCGGGGGCACGGCCAGCCCGGCTGCAGGAGCGGCGGAGACGAATCCGCGGTCCCGCAGCTCGGCTGGGTCCCTGCGCACCGAGGGTCCCCCGAGGGTCCCCGGCCCCGCGGCGGCACCGGCACCATCGCCCACCCCCTCTCCCCATCCCCGGCCCCGCAGGCTCGCTCCCACTGTGCCCACCTGTCCTCCCTCCCTCGTGCCGCCGTGCGCTGCTCCTCGGGCTCTGCCGAGCGCTTCCTCCTCTTTCTTCCCTATCCCCCCGTGCCAGCCGAGGAGCGGGGGCCGCTGCCGGCTGCGCGCCGCCGCCGCCCGGCTCCCCCCGCGCCGGGGCTGCAATCCGCCTCCTCCGACACAAACTTTCCCTTCGCGTGCGGGGAAGTTCACGGCCGGGGCGGGGCGGGACAGGCTCCCTTGTCCCTTGTCCCTGCCCACGCCCCCGCCTACAGGAACACGGGCATCCCCCGCGCACCCCCGGGCAGCGCGGCTCACCTGAGGGCGCGGGGAGCGCACAGCTGTGCCCGGCGCAACGCGCTCTCCTCTTCCTCCTCCTCTTCCTCCTCCTCTGCCTCCTCTTCTGCCTCCTCGCCGTCGTGCCCGATCCGCGCCCCCGGGCTCCGCTCCGCCCCTCTCCCCGCGGCCGCGCTCCGCAGGCGCTCGGGGCGGTCCCGCCGCGGTCACCGCGGGCAGCGCGGCCGNGGCCGGGGCCGGGGCCGGGGCCGGGGCAGGGGCAGGCACAGCTCCGGCCCTCAGCTCCGTCCCTCCGCAGCTGCCGGGTCGGGCCGGGGAGGCGGGGTGCGAGCGGGGTGCGCGGGGCCACGGCTCCCTCTCCTGGCCGGAGCCGTCCTGCCGGCGGCGGTGCCGGGGGCCCGGAGGCGCCCGGAGCCCGTGGAGCCGGCCCGGAGCCCTTGGACACGTTCTGGGCGCTCTGTGGCTGGGCTGGCGGACACAGCCCTGCCGCTGCCGCAGCCCCTGAGCGCTCTGCGGACCACCTGCCCCCGGGAAAGGAAAGTTTCCCGTTCTCTCTGGTGTGCCGGGATTCCTTCCTCGTAATTTCCTCCCGGGGCTCCCTGGACATTCTGATGTTGCCTCATCCCAGAGAAGTGTCACCGTTTCTTCTCTGTTCCCGGCACAGATACAGCCTTGATGAGGCTGAAATTGTTGATGGATGAGGAGTAGGCACCTGAAACGGACTGCAAGGGCAATGTCAGGGAGTCTGAGGAGTGGAATGAAAATCTGCAGAGATTTGGGCCAGCACCTGATCCTGGAGAATGTGGCCAGCGATTTTAAGTGCAGTCCCTAGTGCAGGAGTGCCCTTGCCCAGGAAAGCTCATTGTCCTCTCAGGTTGGCCTAGAGCCTCTTCCATCCTGGCAGTGAGTAACCTGCCCTTATTGGTACTTTTATCACATCTTGGCAGGCTGACAGCAGAGAGAAGTGGCTGGACACAAAGCCTGTAGTGCTAAGGAAACTCCTGTCTGCTCATAGTGCTGCAGCGCTTCTTAGCACTGTTGGCTACAACACCTGGACTGAGTTCAACACCTCCGTTGTTATCCTCAGAAGGTGATTCCAGAATATCTAGGAGACCAAATTTCACCCCATCCCATGAAGCCCCTCTGCAACAAACCTGTCCTGGGGTGCAGGGTCTGGCCAAGGCATCAGAGCCATTGATAGCAACCATCTCCCCATCCCTCTGCAAGGCTGCCTGAGGCACTGTGGCACACGTGGCTGTGTGAAAGGGGGTCCCTGCCCTCAGCAGCCCCACCACCTCTCCAAGGTGGGCACTCCCAAAGCTCTCCCCCACCCCGAGGAGCAGGAGCTGCAGCCTGGCTGTGCCACTGCCTGGGAAGGAGCTGTGGTGGGAAGCCAGTGCTGTTCCTGCAGCTCCAGCAGGAAAACTCTTCCTCCTGTACCTCTCTCTCCTTCCCTTCCCAGGGTTCTGGCACAGCAAAATTAGGCAGAAAGTTTCTTATCTCAGCAGCTTCTGTGTCCTGGTGGTGAATGCCCTTGAAAATCTGCCTACTTGGCTTGTGCTTAGAATCAGCTCTACTCAAGCCATCTCTAACCCAATTCCATCCAAATATTAAAGCAACTTTTTAAGGCAGAGCTCTGTGAAGACTAATTTACCCCACTCTAAGGGGAGATTGGTGCATATTTTGCTCCATGTGACCTGCACTGCTCCAGGACCTCATCTTGTCTGGAGCTGCTTTAGGTGTCTGTATAACTTGGCTGCAATACTGAATATAGGCAAATCTGGAATAGCAAGGCACATTTTTCCAACATGCTTACTCAGAAATATGTGCTTAAAATTGTCTGTTGAAATATGACAGTCCACTTTTCTCATAGAAGATGAAATAACAAAAGCGTTGCATATTTTAGTCATGATACCTAATGCAGCTGTGGGAGTAGCTCAGCTGTCTGGTGATTGTTACAAGAATTAAATAATAATAATAATAATAATAATAATAATAATAATAATAATAATAATTCCTTGTTCTTTGTAATATCTGCCATCCATAGATACAGATCTGGGGTAGGACATGTCATGATTCTTGTTTGGGAGGATCCAGGCACTGTTGCAATACTGGTGGTGCAGGTTAACAGTCACCAACACACACACCCAGGGAAATTCATACTGTTCCAAACTCCAAGCCTGCAAATTAGGGTCCTTAGGCCAGGGTCATTAATTTTCTCTGATCTTGATGAAAAGCCAGAATTCAACTTTAGACTTCATTGAAAGGCTCATAAAAAAGATTCAAGACCAAATTTCCAGAGACTGGTTAAAAGCTACAGCTGATGGCAAAGCCCCAAACCACACCTTCTTATTGTGTTTTCATGGGAAATGTTTCAAACCCTTTTGTTTATGGATTAAAAGAATCAAAAAATTCCTACTGCAAAATAAGGGTAATATTTCTCACTTGGGCTCAGTGTTGTCATAAGGATATTTTTGTATTGCTATTTTTTCTCCCATCCTCTCTCCACACTTGCACATGCTATTTCTGTGCAGGTTAAAATGCAACACAGTTACACCCTAGAGTGAATTATACTATGTTTTGAGGAGCAATTCAGTAAATAGAAAACATTTTTAAGCTCAAAAAGGCATCATTGTTCCACAATTTTTGGACAGGGAGCAAAGAGTAGCATTACTAAGTGAAACCACGGGGGGGACTTAAATAGCAGAGAAATGTGTTGGTGTTGAGCCAGGACACTGGAGCTTCTGGCATTGCAACTGCTGTGAAAATATTCCACAGACCTCCACTAACAAGTGGCCAAAGGCTTTGTTTTGCTGCTGTTCTATTCCCTTTAGGCAATTTAAAGTTACAAGCACAGGAGGATCCTGGGTCATAGAGCCCAGTTCTCTGCTGTGCCAGGAATAATGTTGTTTATGGTCCTTTTCATGAAAGGACCACGCTCTGACTTTAAACAATTTTTTGGTTTTGCCTGTTACCCCTCTGTGAGGTTCTCCTAGGCTGTCCATGTCCCTGCTGGTCAGGAACCTTTCCCCACATGTTCTGGCACCAGCACTGGCTCTCATTTCAGTAGCTGTTTTGCTCACTTGTCCTTACTCAGGTATTTTTATGGAGATGGTTCTTGTCTGCCTTTCTCGCTGAGTTGTGGAGGACTGGCTTTTCAATCTCCTTCCTAAATGACTCTCAGTTCACCTCAGACCTCTTCCCTCCATCTGCTGTGGTGTCAATTTCAAAGTTCATATGAGTTACCAAAAGTAGTTAGAGTATTAAATGGGAGGAGGTCTCACTGATGCTTCATACACTGAAATTAAAGTCACCATTTCTCATTGAAATATCTCACCTGGTAATCCCAAGATTGCACTTATCTTTCTGCAAATAAGCTGTAGTGGTGACCTCATATTTCTCCTCCATTTTTGCTTGCAATACTAAGTTCCCAGCCTTGATCAGAGACTTGTTACTATTCCCTTGTCAGTTCCCAATTCCCTTGTTTTTGTCCCAACTCTCAGCCTGCACAGAGTTTTCTGATTTGTTTGTTCTTAGCCAGCATTTCTGACACTGGGAGATCAAGGTAGTTTCATAACCTCTAAAAGACATGTTCTTGCTTGTTACTCACACCCACCTAACCCATTTTTCCTCCTTCCTAGTTCAGGAAATAAGCCCTAGACTACATATAATTATAGTCTGTGCTGTTATAAATGAACGTGCCTTCTGTGTTTGACACCTGCCTTTTAACTGGCATTGAGAGGAGCACGCCTGATAACCTAAGATACAGGACACAGGGAAGATGGGAGAATGACAGATATTTCTGACATAGCAGCACATGGACCTCCCATCTGCTTCTGTCAGGGGAGCTGATGTTACCCACACATGGAGCTGAACATTTTCTGCTGAGACCATTTTGCAGCGAGGAACCTGTGCCTGGCTGAGCAGGCAGGCATGGCTTTCAGACAGGTATGAACTGCACACTCACCAAAATGCATGAGGAGTCACATGTGTCAGGTGAGCCTGACTGACAGAGATTGTGTATTCTCTGCTGTATTGACTGTGCCCAAACCACATCTTGGATCTCACTGCCCAGTGAGGCATTTTGTGTGAACCTCTGTAAGAGCCCTGCACAGTGAGGAGGATTGGAAGCACAGCTTTGTTATGAGTTCATCTGTGTTTATTCCTGAGGATGCAGCAAATAGCTTTTGTCCATGTTAATGTGCTAAATATCATTAGTGTCTCTTCCCCTGTGTTACTACAGTGGTAGGACTGCTAATGCAAATGGTTCTTAAATGGAAACTTGACCTTACATGACTTGCATCCGAGTCCATTTAAATCTCTGTCACACATGTTTTGATACAGCCTAAGGCCGGAGATATTTCCAGTCCTGTGAGTCTGTGTTTCATACAAACTAAAGCTGTTTCAAAGCAGTGGTGGAGAGGAATATCTTCTCATCCTACTGAAGGCTTTGGCTTTTGGCAGGTATCTGACCCACGAGGGCACACACGTTGGACACCGTTTGTGTTTAGGATGCCTGAGCATCCTTTTGCACAGTGTATCAAACACACCAAATTTCTGTAAATTGCCTGACTTTGAAGGTTGCAGGAACACTTAAACTGGGTTGGCATTTCTGTTGGGCAAGACCAGCATCTGTCTCAGTCAGTCTTTGAAGAAAGCCTCTAGCCTGGCCATTAATTAGACTGCAGTTTACCTCTCTTGCTCAGTGATGCCAGTGAGAAGTGGCAGGCTGTCAGCAGATTAGTAAAGCTAGATAGGCTGGTTACAGCCTTGGCATCGAGGCAATTCCCTCCTGATGGGTATTTCTACAGGGAGTGGTCTCTGGAGATGATTTCAAACTCCTGGCTTCTCTGGCTGATGGTTTGCTGACACCACTGCAGAAGGGAAAAGGCACTGAATTAACACATTGTCTTTCCTGGGTAAATGGAGCCAATTAGAAGATCTTATAAAAGCAAGAAAAGGCTTAATACAGTGTATTTTTATCCTACCTATTTGTAAGAGTTCCTCCTGTCTTGACATAGATTTATTCAGGTGTTTTGATTCTTTAATAATTTTTCAACAGTCTTTTTTTCTGAACAAACCAAACTTCTCTGGATAACTGTCTGATAATAAACTACAATGGTTAAGGAAAAAAAG